TCTTCAGGCTGAACAAGCCCAGCTCCCTCAGCCTCTCCTCGTAGGAGAGATGCTCCAGTCCCCTCACCATCCTCGTAGCCCTCCGCTGGACTCTATCCAGTAGCTCCTCATCTTTCTTGAACTGGGGAGCCCAGCACTGGACACAGTACTCCAGATGGGGCCTCACTGGGGCAGAGTAGAGGGGAAGAAGAGACTCCCTCGACCTGCTGCCCACACTCCTCCTAATGCACCCCGGGATCCCACTGGCCTTCTCGGCAGCCAGGGCACACTGCTGGCTCATGGTCAACCTGTCGTCCCCCAGCACTCCCAGTCCCTCTCCGCAGAGCTGCTCTCCAGCAGGTCTGCCCCAGCCTGTACTGGTGCATGGGGTTGTGGAGTATTACAAAGGGTGATACAGTCTTGTCAGTACCAAACCTTTTCCAGTGCTTCTGGCGCGACAATGCTGTTTGCTTCAGGCCTCCAGAAGGCCTGATTCTGGTGCCACTGATTGTTCTGCAGGAGGTAGGATGGCTTTGCCTGGAGGAAGGCTGACTGGCAGAAAAAAAAAAGGGTCTTGAGTTTATTCTTCGTGCTCCTTTGTTGAAGGAGACCTGCTTGGGTCGCTGCTGGATGTCCATGTGATGTTGCTGTGTGCAGATTGGTGGGAAACACCTTTTAAGCTTGGGAGATGCTGCAGGTTCAGTGTTGGTGCAGATGGTCTGATCTGTGGCTGGTGAGGACTGCAAGGAGCAGCAGCCGTGGCTTGCAGCTGAGATGGTGCGTGGGAGGGGTGCAAGGGAGGGGGATGCTTGCTGGATGCCCGCACAGCAGCTTAGGGCTACAGCCAGGAATGGGACTTCTGTTTCCTTTTCCAGAGCGCCAGCTGCCCTGCTAATGGAGCAGGAAGTGACCTGCAGTGACAGAGGTGCCCCTGAGTCCTGTCAGAAACGCAGGAGCAGCTGAGGAAAAGTCCTCCCTCCCCAGGCTGCCAAGATGATACCTGTCCTTCCAGATAACAAACTTTCCTCCATCTGTTTTCCCCAGCTTCTGCCTCTCCTAGCCTCAGGGGTACTCCAGAGGCGGCCTCAGGTGGCATACAGCACCAAGGAAGACAGCACTACGAGACCTGTTGGGCGGTACCCCATACCCAACAAGAAGGACATGCCATATGACATCGTGGAGCTCATGGAGGAGGTGGAAATGAAGGTAAAGGAGTTCTGCTGCAAAACTGTCAGTGGAAAGGTTCCAAAGTCCAGCTAGATTGTACAACCTGAGAGAGCAGTTCTGTTCTGGTTGGGTCTAACACACACTCGACAGGAGACTGAGGTGAGCAGCACTGCTTGCAAAGCTCCCTCCAGTCAACAGGATGGGGGTTTTACTGGAAATCCTGCAGTGTGTTGGCTGGATTTTAAGTCTCCCTGGTTCTGTGAGACTAGTCGTTTCAGATGACATCTTGTGCGTGGGGGTTAGCTGGAACACTGACATGTATTTGTTTTACTGAGAAAGCATCTGTGCACTATTAGGAGTGTTTTTAACGCACTTAGTGGAGAAAAAACAGGGGCGGAGCTGTACTGATGGCAGTATCGTCATGTACATCAGCCCAGGGGTATTTCTGCTTTTGAACTTTGACTTTTTTTTTCTCCAAATCTAAATGGGCTGCACAGTGGCAGCCCAGTAAGCCTAGTGCAGAACTGTGTGCAAGGGGAACAAGAAGTAATTGGATGAGAGTTTCCTTCCCTGCTGTTGTGGAGAAGGAAAGCCACACAGTCCTTCATGATGGCTGAAACACTCCACCAGCCATAGCTCCATGGAGACTTCTCTTCCAAGAGCTTCCTCTCAGGGGAGTGCTGGTCTGTCCGTGCCTATCCTTCCTGCCAGCCTGTTGAATCTGTGCTCTGCTAGTTGCAGTGGCCATGGTGAAGTTTGCATAATAGCGAAAGGAGTTGGCAGACTTGAGGGTAAATACGATACACAGAGGAAGTCAGCTCAAATTTCACATGTTGTGACGCACACCACTGTGCGTCAGTGCACTGAAAGGGTCAGCAAAGACCTACGTGTAGGGTCCAGTCAGCCTAGCAGAGGTGGATATCCAAACAGTGCTGCCAACCTCTGTTGCCACAGGTTCCTAAGTAAACTAATGAGTTGTGGACGAAGAGGGAGGAGCCTCCTGATTCAAAGACCCGGTAATAACCTAACAGTACAATGTATACTGTTAAGCAGGTATCTTTTATTACTTGTCGGGCACACAGGGGATCTCTCCTCCAAACGTGCATGCCAAACACCCTTTTCATTTCAGGTTAAATACAATGATGGTGTACGCATTCATTCTGTTTCCAAGAAATGCTTAGCATATTCATGTTTTTTCTGAGAACTGATTAGCATATGTTAACATCTTTCACGCATGTCTGTTGGCACCTCCGGGTGGTCATTAGGAGTCTTCAGGTGAAGGCCCGTACTCCTCATCACAGTGTCCGCTGGTTGCCCTTTGTTTCTGCGCAGACTCAGTTCTAAGATCATGTATACTGCGTCCTTCCAGGTTGTTTTGCTCTGGTCTTGTTGCCCTCTTGGTGCCTCTTTTATCTCTGTAGCTTGGTGCATCTGCTCGCCCAAGACCAAGCTGTCTGGAGTAGAATTATTTAGGAGTCTCTTATCCTGCAGTTATCCCGATTAACCGCTGAGGACCAAGACTTGCTTTGATTTTAATTATTTTGTCTAATGACTTAAAGTGATAACATATCTACGTACATCCACTACATTCATAAGTAGAAACAGGGGTTAGTACAATAGTTACAGCATTAGACCGCTATGTGTGCGAGAATACAAACTGTAATAATAAAAATTACTAACAACTAGAAAATACTAATAAAGCTACTTTGTCATAGTTTCACGTTTCTTATGATCCCCTCTGTCACTCCCCTTGGTTAACTAACAGTAAAGAGACGGGTGAAACAGGAGGAAGGCACAGGCAATTGTGTGGCAGTGGAGGGAGTGCCGAGTTTCAGCATCCGTGCAGGGACAGGAACGACTCTCACACATTGACGCAATGCACAGTCGATTCGATTTATTGCTCTGCTTGCGTGGTTATATACATTTTTCATATCTGCACACGCGATCACGCTTATTTGGATAGGCTACAGACATAAATCACGCGCTGTTCACGCGCCCCACATTCCCTTATGACTGGTAACTGCACTAACGCCAATAGCAACAGGTCGCCTGCACATCTTGTTTTTGCTAACCCGCACCATGTGCACTATCAGAACTTTCTCAATGGCTGTTCTTAGCTGTCCTTTCCAGCGGCCTGTTCAGTTATGCTGTTTTGCTTAAGTGGCCTAGTTGTGCTAACTCTCAAGCTACGTCATCCCCAACAAGGGAGGTTGCCAGAGGGGTCTGTGACACCTGGGCTAGTCTCCTTTTCCAGAAATACCCTGAAGAGCAGCAGCTGGTAAGCTGATGGAGCCTGTGGGCAGTTGGCACAGTCACAGCGAACCCAGGCTGTTGAGAACTGCAGTGGGCAGCCAGGCACTGAGACTGAATCCCTGCTGAGAAGTACTGACCGCTGAGACCCAGGCACGTGTGGGTGTTGTGTCAGGTGGTCCTGCACGTGAGAGGCAGCAAGCGCTTGTCTGGGAAAGGCAGCCCCACACACAACCGCAGAGATGGGCTGGGCACTGCCAGTTGTTGGGGGTGGAACGGGGAGAGAAGCAGAGCAGCATCATTGTGCCAGCGTATACATCCACTGTCTGCTGGCACCTCAACCAGCATGGTGTTCAGATTGGGCTGGCCCTGTCTTGTGTCCTGTAAGCTCAAAGGGAATAGAGAGTTACAGAAGGACTAGGGTGCTCAAATGGGCGTAGCAGCATCTGTGCAGGAAGACCAAGTGGAGACAGCCTCTCCATTTTGAAATGAGCTTGCCAGTGTGACTGTAGTCATTCCTGGGGTTTCTGAACAGGGCGATCAGTCTGGCTATGAAACTGCAGCAACACCGAACTAAGAACCACATCATTACACGTTCAGTGATATGTATAAATGGGTCAAAGGGCAGCAGAGTGGGTCTGCAGAGGTTCCCCAGCACTGCAGTGCTAACGAATTGTTCTCTAAGCCTAGTGCATTAATGTTGTCCTGTGTGCTCTGTGTTAAGTTACAGTTCTTGACTCGTTTTTCTTTTTGCTTGAACAGACTGGATTTCTGCCCAATGTGTTCAAAGCCATGTCTCACCGACCTGCTGAATTCAGAGCTTTCTTTGCTTATTACAATGCCATTATGAACAAAGACACAGGTAAACCATACAACCACCTCAAAATTGCCCTCCCCTTGTATATGAAAAAGTTGCTAGAAGCAACACTTCTGACATCCGCAGATGTATTGCCTCACCATGCCTTCTCCCAGTCCGTAATAACAGGTAGCAGAGACTGCAGCTGCTCCTGGCTTTCCTTCTGCTGCATACAGCTTCGTACTCTTTAGCTTGTGGTGAAACAGCATCTCTCGAGCCAAGCTCTGCTACCTCGCTGCACTGTGCTCTGTGTCGTGACAAAGAAAGGAGGGCTGCTGCCTAAGGGAAGATGAGCTGAGTGTGCTGGAAGGGCGCAGGCAGAGGCAGTGGTTTTGTGGGCAAGGCTGAAGCCCTACACTGCTGGAGCAAGGCAAGCAGGGTGGCTTTGGCAGTGGTGACCGGGCCATCCAGGAGTCTAGATTTCCTAGGGAGACCCATGGGGACAAGGCAGATGCTAGATGAAGCCAGAAGGTTGGCCTGGGGATCAGTCAGGTTCCAGACCAGCAGGGTTACACAGCCAGGCACTGCAGCTGCAGTATGGCTCAGGTCACTCCAATCTTCACAAAGGGCAAGAAGGAGGACTCAGGAAACTACAGGCCGGTCAGCTTCACCTCCATCCCGGGAAAGGTGATGGAGCAGCCTATCCTGGAGGTCATCATCAAGCAAGTGGAGGAAAAGAAGGTTATCAGGAGTAGTCAGCATGGATTCACCAAGGGGAAATCATGCCTGACCAATCTAATAGCTTTCTACGATAACATGACTGGCTGGGTAGACGAAGGGAGAGCTGTGGATGTTGTCTACCTCGACTTCAGCAAGGCTTTCAACACA